CTGGACAGAGCACCTGGCACCAGCAAGACTGACAGAGGGTGGAAGGGTCCTACCATCAGAGGTAATCTTCACAACCCGGAGGGGTTGACGGCGACTACCACGAGGGGGACGAGTAAACGTGTCCACCTGGAGAATAGAATGGCCCTGGGCAGCAAGGATATGTCGAATATCGTCGTGGCAGTCGCGCAGGTCCCGAACACCGGTCCCAACATGGGGCGGGAGCAGAATAGTGCCAACACTGGCATTCAACTGAGCGTTCTTCGAGACCCGAACAGGGGTCTCGCCAAGGCAGGATAAGGCAGCCAAGCGGGAAGCAGCATCCTGAGAAGGAGCAGCAACGACACGTGTACCGAGACGAGTAGGGTTGAAAGTAATGGAGGCATCCACGGAATCAACGAGATGTCGATGGAGGGAGAAATCGTCAGGAGGCGCAGAATCAAGAGGGAGGAGATCAAAATATTTGGCCCACGAAGCGGGACCAAACAAGGCTTGATAGGTAGCAGAACTGGAAGGAATCGAGCGAGGGCGGCCGTGACGAGGACGGCGGTGAAAACCCCCAGAGAGAGAGGGGTTAAAAGGCGCAGTAGTCACAACTAGAGAAGGAGCCGCTCCAGGGGACGAGGTAGTCACCACTGGGGGCTTGGGGCTCGACCCAACCACAGAGGAGGGAGGGGAGCCAGGGGAAGGAGTCAGAGAGGCCAAAGGAGGAGCAAGGTCGGGGGCCCAATGCAGCGGAGGCTACAGAGCCCGGTCTTCCAACATGGACTGACTCGGGGGCTTGGTCGCCCACCCCACGAGCCTGAGAAGGTAAATCAGAAACAGCCGAAACAGGGGTCATCATCATTACGAAAAGAAAAATTCATTCACGAATGTGCCCCCACACCCACCATGGAGCCACAATTAGAGGCAGGACACCGAACAAGAAGCTATCGCCGATCTTGCCGGGGCCTCCTAGGGGTGCGTCGTGAGTATACGCCCCAAAAACGCCACCTTCAGAAACCGACAGTCCGTCGAGATCGGGTTCAGTGACGAAAGGGGGATTGACAATAAAAGGTTCCCCTCGTTCTCAACGTCGGGTACTACAGTTCTACGGGTGCAAGAGTATGCCTCCTCAAGCACCCGGGCGTCAAAATAGAAGAAGTCCAAGGGAAGAACCAGAACAAGCAATAGGTCGGCAGGAAACGGCAAGCAGATAGGAGAAGAGGGGGGAGAAAAACGAAACAGAAGGAAAAGGAAAAGGTGCCCAGCAGAATTGGAGAGGACGGCAGCAGGAGCACAAGGCTAGAAAAGGACAGAGGACTGTCCCAAGGAGCATCACACTCCGGCAGCCGCCCACTAAGCCCCCACACGGCAACAACGAGCTGAGCGGGGAGGGGGTCTCACAATAAAGTTCCTTCCTCCTAACACCACTTCTGTAATTCAGCCTGTGGACTAGAAAATTATAGCAAATTTTAAGAAACTTTATGAAAGAGCACTTTTCCGGAAATGTTTTGAGGTGAATAAAGCCACAAATCTCACCTTCAAAGAGTTCTGGAAACACCATTTTAACATTTGTAGTGCTTTAAAACTCGTTGACAAAGCCTAGCAAGAAGTGACTCAAAGAACCCTGATCTCTGGCTGGAGAAAATTGTGGCCTGAATGTATGACAGAACTGTATGAAGTGGTGTCAGATGTGGGAAGAAACGCAAACTTTTATTGAAAAGACTCACCCGGAGAAAGCTGTAGTAGGCCGTTGCATTAACTTTTCAATGACAATGTGATGCCTCACTACAGACAAAATGTTGTGAAGAAGGGAAAAACAATCTTCAATGGATCGTTTCGTTGTGAGACATGAAGAGAAAAATCAATTGTGAGAAAATCAAGCAGTGAGCTACAACCAGGACTTAGTGGTATCCATGCAAAATGTGTCAGAGAGTGCACTCCAGAAAAATCTTCACTGCCTGATGTTATAATGGAAGGGGACTCCCTTTCCAAACAGTAACCCCTCTCCTCCTCCTCACCTCCCTCTTCACTATCTTCCATACGCCAACAGGAGTCATCAACACGGGTAAGTAGAAATTTGAACATACTTTTGTAGTGTAGATTTGGGTGAATTATGTATAAAATTTACTTGGAAGTGAAGTTTTTTGGGAGTCAGGAACTGATTAATTCATTTCCCATTATTTCTTATGGGGAAATTAGCTTCAGTTTACGAATTTTCGGGTTACGAACTGTCTCCAAGAACGGATTAAATTCTTAAACCTGAAGAGCATGCAGAGATCCTTTACTGCTAGAATCCACTCAGTAAAACATCTAAATTATTGCAACCGACTAAAACTTCTAAATCTGAATTCTCTTGAGTGCAGGCAGGAGAGATACATAATAATTTACACGTGGAAAATTGTAGAGGGGCTGGTCCCAAACCTGCACACAAAAATAACACCACATGAGACCAGAAGGCATGGCAGGATGTGCAGAATACCTCCATTGAAAAGCAGAGGTTTAATAGGTACTCTGAGAGAGATCTCTATCAACATTAGAGGCCTAAGACTGTTCAACACACTTCCACTACATATAAGGGGCATAACCAGCTGACACAGTGTTCAAGAGAGAACTTAACAAGCACCTTCAAAAATTACCTGATCAGCCAGGTTGTGACTCACATGTCAGGCTGCGAGCAGCCGCATCCAACAGCCTGGTTGACCAGTCCAGCAATGAGGAGGCATGGTCAACGACTGGGCCGCGGGGATGCTAAGCCCCAAAATCATCTCAAGGTAACCTCAAGGTAAGGGACCAGGCAGGTCCATGGTGGCACAAAAGTGGCGCATTTGCAGACCAAAGTTAAAACAAAGCTTGAGAAAGCATGCATAATGGGGTATAAGAGGCCATGGCCCCGAATGTAAGCTGGAGCAGCTCTGCTAATGCCGCATGAGAAGTATACGCTGACATAAGTAATTGAGGCGACAGTATACAGCAGAAGACGCCAATCAAGGAAAAGCCAATGACAGAATCACCTAAACAGAAACTGAGGAGCAATGACAAACTGACAGAAAATGGCAGAAGGCAAGCCAAGACATCACAAACTGTCACCGGAAAGAAGACTGCAGGTGGCACACCAGTAAACTAGCCATCAGATCACCATAGAGATGACGATATACACATGTCAAAAACACGTGAGTGGAGGAGAATGTTGAACCAGCAAAGAACGCCACCAGCCTGACCCTCTGAAAGAGGTGGAGCAGCAGAAAAATGACACTTAGCTGACGACAGGAGATCGGAGTGAGAGTGAACCGAGTTGGCGATCAAGCACAAATACATCAGTATGAGAACTGGTAGTTTGCCCCACTCCCCCCATCCCAAAGAAGGGGGAAGGAGGTGGGGGCAAACTAGTTCACGGCAGTTTCACAAATATTTGATTATTTGTTTCATTGTTGGGGGAGATCTTTTGGGTTATCTTGAGGTTATCTTGAAAACAGTCTAGTTTTCTCTTGAAGATGTCCATGGTTGTTCCGGCAATATTTCTGATAGTCGCTGGTAGGACGTTGAACAACCGTAGACCTCTGATGTTCATACAGTTTTCTCTGATTGTGCCTATGGCACCCCTGCTCTTTACTGGTTCTATTCTGCATTTTCTTCCATATCGTTCACTCCAGTATATTGTTATTTTACTGTGTAGATTTGGGACCTGGCCCTCCAGTATTTTCCATGTGTATATTACTGTATTTGGTATCTCTCTTGTCTCCTTTCTAGTGAGTACATTTGGAGAGCTTTGAGATGATCCAATAATTTAGGTGCTTTATCTCGTCTATGTGTGCCGTATATGTTCTCTGTATTCCCTCTATTTCAGCAATCTCTCCTGCTCTGAAGGGGGAAGTGAGTACTGAGCAGTACTCAAGACGGGACAACACAAGTGATTTGAAAAGTACAACCCTTGTGATGGGATCTCTGGATTTGAAGGTTCTCATAATCCATCCTATCATTTTTCTGACTGACGCAATATTTGCTTGGCTATGCTCCATAAATGTTAGGTCGTCAGACATTATTCCCAAATAATTATAGTTTGTGGACCCCATTTTGTGGACATCACTGCGACCAAAGTAGGTATTTGTTTGCATTTATATCAACATGTACATGGTCGGGAAGGATATTTAACAATTTCGGGAAGAAAAATCATTTTTTGAAAGAATTTTTTTCCTATGCAACATGACTGTCACATTATAATATGGTGCAATCTAGTGGTTATTATAGGCAATATTTAAGTTTCTATAAATATTAGCTGTCAAAACTAAAATTTACCATGATAATGCCTAAACATGGATGCAGGACTTGCGCTGTTCCTATGATATTATATATGGACATACTATATCTGAACCACTAAAATATTCATGTGCTATACCCTTTTTATCACAATTTCTTCTGGAGATTATGCTTACCAATTTTAATAAGAGTTGCCATATGTTCCACAGTACTCTGGAAAACTTATGATATTTAAGGAATCTAAATAGAACAATTTGCCAAGGTCTTTAAAGGCAGTGGTAATAGAATTTGGCTAAGCAGTTCCTAAAATAATTAACTGTTAGCAGTCAATAATGTATAATGCAAAATGATCACAAGATTTAGGGCCACATGTAGTGTCAGCACAACCTTGCCCTGACCTAAAGCACATGAGCAGACATGTCAATACTCTGTATGCAAACGATGAGTCACAATAACGTGGCTGAAGATATGAAGAATTAAACCACACACCAGATGAAGAGACTACGCCGTTTTGGTCCATCCTGGACCATTATCAAGTCGATATCCAGTCAACAATCGACATGATAATGGTCCAGGACAGACCGAAAAAGTGTCGTCTCTTCATCTTCTGGAGTGTGGTTTAGTCTTCATGTCAATACACTTAGCTCAGAAAAAAAACTTTTCAAAAGCATACCATCTGAAGATATCTCCATCAGAATTTGTGATATTCTCTACAAATGTTAATAAAAATATAAATAAATTAGCTTACAAAATGACAAACTTACTGAGTCAAATATAGAAAGACCATCGTGACCTCCTATAGCATATACATGACCATCAAAAGCAACAACTCCTGCTGCACTCCGATGCTTTGTCATTGACGTAACCATTACCCATTTGTTTGTTTCACTGTTGTAGCACTCCACAGTGTTGAGAGACGCGACCCCATCATAACCACCACACACGTATAGATGATCATTTAGAACAGCAGCACCAACAGCACTGCAAATCAAGATAATCATTTAATAAAGCATCAGAACTATGACTCAACCTGTTAAAAATATATATAAATAAACACATCCAGCAATTATACATCTTTTCAAATCAAGCATTACAGTATATGTAATGAAATTGTCTTTTCTCGACAGCCTCAGTGGCTTCTTACAATGCTACTAAGGCCTCTTCAATAACTCCCGATGTTGACACCACAGATTTTTAGCAAAGGAGGCTACTGACTGAAGAAAAAATATATGTATACAGTATACAGGAGTACCACGGTTTAAGAATTTAATCCGTTATTGGAGACGGTTCGTAACCCGAAAATTCGTAAACCGAAGTGAATTTCCCCATAATAAATAATGAGAAATTAATTAATCACGTTCCCGACTCCCCAAAAACTTCACTTCCAAGTAAATTTTATACCTAATTCACCCAAATCTACATTACAAAAGTATGTTCAAATTATTACATACCCTTGCTGATGACTCCTGTTGGCTTATGAAAGATGGTGAGGAGGGGGGAAGGGGAGGGGCAGAGGTGTTACTGTTTGGAAGGGGAGTCCCCTTCCATGATAACATCAGGTAGTGAAGATTTTTCTAGAGTGCACTCTCTGGCATGTTTTGCCTGCATACCACTAGGTCCTGGTTGTGGCTCACTGCTTAATTTTCTCACAACGAAACGATCCATTGCATTGTTTTTCCCTTCTTAGCAACATTTGTCTGTAGTGAGGCATCACATTGTCATTCAAAAGATTAATGCAACGGCCTACTACAGCTTTCTATGAGTGAGTCTTTTCAATAAAAGTTTGCATTTCTTCCCACATCTGACACCACTTCCTATTTGGTTTCTGAGCTGTCTAATGGTGCTCAGACAGCTCAGACAAACCATTATGCTATTGTTTGTCTGAGTTGGCACCCTCCCCCATGTCTCAACACTATGAATACCACTTCTTTTTCTAAATTTGTCAAACTATCCCCGGCTTGCCTTGAAGTCTTTCGTATCTGCACTCGTTCCAGGGATTTTCTTTACAAGGTCTTCGTGCAATACCCTGCCTTCCTCACAAATGAAAAAAACCAGCGTTGAATGTAATGAAACGCCATTTTCTGGGTGAGTCCCGGAGGCTCCCCGGAGCTATCCCAGGCTGATATGCTAATGTCAGACTTTGGCATCAGTCATGTGTATGGAGTTCTTAGGCCTACCGGGGACCACGGCCAGAACCGGGCCCCCTCAGAGAGGCAAGGGGAGCAATGGCCTATAGAAGCCCCCGTGTAGTTGGAAGCATTCTATGTCTGCCATCGACCGGAACAGGCACCCAGAAAGGTAAGCGCCCCAAAACAAACCCCTATTCTGGTTAAAATTGCTACCTAATACCGAACTAGTGGATAGAACTCCCCAACCGAAAACAAGCAAATTAGTGTGACGTCACACACTGCCGCGCCGCTGTCTGCGCAGCTCCCCCCTCCCCGGGAGGGGGAAGGGGGAGCCCCAGACCCCCCGCGCCGGCTACCCACACCTCAGTTCTTGAGGCTGGATGTCAAAAACGCGAAAAACCGCCGACCGGAGGGAGGGAGGGATGCCGGGGAGCCTCCGGGACTCACCCAGAAAATGGCGTTTCATTACATTCAACGCTGGTTTTCTGGGGGGAGCCCCGTCGGCTCCCCGGAGCTAACTACCCACAGACAGAAAAAGAGGGACTTACCCGGGAGGCGGTCGTCGCTCACCCCTCAACTCGAAGCCGAGACAACTGGCTGCAACCGCCGACCCAAAGCAACACAGGCCCGACGAGGGCCAGGGACATTCACAAGGTAACGAGCAGCCAGGACCCTGTTCGACCGCCAAAATCCCCGCGCCCGAATATCAGACCAATACATATTCCCAAAGACGGCAGCAAGAGCCGCGAACTTACGAACGTCATGGGCACGGGGATAGACCGCAGGCTGGCTAGACCTAATAACCCTGCGGACGACCTGAGAGACCCGAACCCGCGAACAGGGAAGAAGGGAAACCGGATCAACCCACAGCGCGTCCCCGGACACAGAAGCTGTGGCGCGCAAATAACGGCGAAGCGCCGCAACCGGACACAAAACATGATGCACCCCCGGCCTGACCAACCAAGCATCAACCACCCATGGACCCCTCCGGAACGCAGCAGTCTCATTCTTCGCCAGAAAAGAAGGAGACGGCTGCAAACGAACAAAACTATCACTACGACCAAAAGAGCAGAAACCCCTGCGCCGGAGGAGAGCATGAAGCTCCCCTACCCGACCCCCAGAGGCCAAAGCCAACAAGAAAAGTGCCTTGGAAAAACAATCCTGGACCGAAGGGGCCACAACGAAACGAGGAGATGAAAGGAAAGCGAGCACTCTGTCCAAAGACCAGGACGGCTCAGGCGACGCATGAGCAGGCCGGAGGTGAAACAATGCACGAGACAGCTTGCGAAACGGCGCAGACGTAACATCGATACCGAAAGCAAGCTGAAGCGGCTCCGCCAGCGCCGCACGATACGAAGCGACAGTGTTAGGCATAAGATGACGGTCCTGAAACAACCACGAGAGGAAGGACAAGACCACCCGAACAGACAAGGAGCTAACACGACGAAGACGCAAAAAGAAACGGAAGGACCGCCAGGAAACTTCATACTGCCGCCGAGAAGAAGCCCTCAGGTGGGACACCAACAAGGAGGCCACCTGATCACCATAGAGATGATGATAGACTCGAGTCAAAAAAACCATACGCGAAGACTCGAGGAGAAGATCGAACCAGCCACGTGACGTACCGGCCCGATCTGCTGAAAGAGGCGGAGCCGCGGGAAAACCCTCGGGTTCGGACACCGAGCAACCAGCGCCTGAAACCAAGGCTGGGCCGGCCACCAAGGGGCCAGAAGGACAACTCTCCCCCGGTAAGTCTCTAAGCGAGTCAGGACCTGGAGCAACAGCCGAACTGGGGGAAAGAGGTACAGGAACCCCCACCTCGACCAGTCGAGCCGAAAGGCATCGACCCCGACGGCCTCGCAATCGGGGAAGGGCGCCGCATAAACGGGAAGACGCCGCGACCACGCCGACGCGAAGAGGTCCACTTCGGGGCGCCCGAACGTCTGGCAAAGCCAACGGAAGGACTCGTCGCCGACCGTCCACTCCGTGGAGAGGGGAACGAAGCGAGACAGGGCGTCGGCCAAGATGTTGGACACGCCCCGTACGTGAACCGCCAGGAGAGCCAAACCCCGAGAACTCAGCAGACGAGTCACCCGAAGCGACCAACCCCAAAGAGACAAGGACCGCATCGAACCCCCGCGGTTCAGGCAATGAACCACCGGAGAGCAGTCCGAATGGAGCCGAATCGTCGATCCGCGGGCCACCCGAACAAGAACCCGAACCCGGCGAGCTGGGAAAGAACCAAATCCCTGGCTAGCAAGCAAGCTGACTGGCTGGGAGCCCAAACCAGCCAGTCGTCGAGGTAGGCCAACACCCGAACACCTAGGAGACGCAAACGAGCCACCACAACCCGTGTAAGGCGTGTGAACACGCGAGGTGCCAGGTTCAACCCGAACGGGAGACAACGAAAGCGGTAACTCAGACGCCCCACTACAAAACCGAGCCAGTCCCTGAACCGCGGATGAATCGGGACATGCCAATAAGCGTCCCGGAGGTCCAGGGACACCATCCAAGCACCCGGCTCCAAGAGGAGCCGAACCTGAGACAGCGTAGTCATCCGAAAGGAGGGGCAATGAACCCAGGGGTTCAGACGGGACAAGTCCAGAATGAACCGCAGGTCCGCGCAGTCCCGTTTCGGAACCGGAAACAGACGGGAAACCCATCTGAGGGACGACGTCGTTTCGACGACGCCCAAGCGTACCCACTCCAAGACGACTCGACAGAGCGCAGGGGAAGAAGCCTGCCCCGCCAGCCCCGACCCCCCAAAGGGGGGAGGGGCCACCCAACGCCACCGCAGGCCGCGAGACACGACCCGAAAGGCCCACGAATCGTGGGACCAGGCGCGGGCGAACAGCGCAAGCCGCCCCCCCATCGCCCCGTCAAAGGGGCAAACCGCGAAAGGGCCGGCGACCCTTACGAGACCCAGAACCCCGCACAGCGCGAACACCGCGCCGACCAGACGAGGGAGGGTCCGCAGGAGGAGCCAACCCCAAACCTGACACCCGAGGCCTACCACGACGAGAGGAACCCCGAGCCCTGGCACGACCTTTCCGGGAAGACCCACCCCGGGACCCCCGGAAAACCAACAAGTCCGACATCGGACGACAAGCCGCCGACGCAGCCTGAATAAACTGCGCCACGGCCGACTCCCCAAACAGGAGAGGACAAAAAGGGGAAGAACGCCTAAGAGCCAGAGCCCAAGCAGATTCCACGGAGGAACCCAGCACCGCCTGCCGACACGCGAGGCGGGAAGCATAGAACAGGGAAACCGCATCCCGCAAAATCGGCGTGAACAGCTTCAACAAGGCAGCCGACGAACGCGCAGCCGAGGACAAGGTGCCGGACCCCGGGACGGACCCAAGCGTCCCCACATCCTCCACGAGCCAATCCGAAGACAGCTCCAGGAGGGAAAAGAACCGTAAGGCCGAACACAAAAGGCCCCGAGCGCGCAAGTCCTCCGCCACGAGCGCCGCCGAAAGGGAGGGAACCTGCACATGGAGCTGAATAACGCCCACATCGCGGGGAAGGGCAGGGGCAAACAAGCACTCATTCAGGTACTCAAGTTCACCCCCCAGGAAAACCTGAAGCACCGTGGAAGCTTCCCGCCACTCCAGCGTGCGGGAACGACAGAAGGAATGCCAGGAATCCAGACCAAACAAGGGACAGTCTGCTAGCCAGGATGACTCCGGAACCTCGTAACGGAGCCAGAAAGGGAACGAAGTCCCAAACCTGAACGTGGACGGATCCATTTCCGAGGCATAATCCGGGTCACGCAGGAGGTAAGCTGCAAAGGCCGCTCGCACCACACCAGGTTGGATGCGATAAGCCGAAAACCTCCGGAAGGACGGAACC